AGTGAGGTTTCTATTTCTAGATAGCTGAAGATTTATGCGATAAAGGAAAGACTGAGAAAATAGGTGGAACTGCCATTTGCATTTCAGCCTGTGGTACAAAGAGGCCTCTTCATCACTTTTCCCAACTTTGAAATAACATAGGCTACTGAGATTGCTTGTAAATAGTCCTGGTATGTAGGTAACATGTGACCTGCTGAAGTCTGAGATGCTGTGATTCCAGCATGGAGCAGAGATTTTGGGTGGTGTAACTTAGCTGGTGTGCTATGAAGAATGAAGTGTTGGGTTTGTGGCTGATGGGAGCCTAAAAGCCAAATCTGTCCCCAGGGCTGCTGAGCTGGGTTTAAGTGTGGAATCCCAAGCCTGTAAAAGGCAATGAAAAGACACCCCTGGTTTTCAGACCATGTTTTGTTAGCACTTCTAGGACTACAGCTCCTTCACCCCTACTCCTGATTCATTTTTTTCACTGCAGAGGGATCCATTAATGCTGGATATCTCTTGCTGCATGTGCCTGTGTGTTCTGTAACAGTAAAGCAAGAAAAGGCAGGTTGGAAAAAACATGAGCTAGCTCAAAGACCGCAGTAGGGAAAAGCCTACACAGAAACATTGCTTCCTGCAAGTTGTCATCTTGTTTCTAAAGCCTGAAGTTGCTCTCACTTCACGCTTTCAGCCAAGCGGAAGAGAAACCTGCTCTTTTGTTTTGGTGATGTTATCTGAGGAGAGAGGAGAGGTTTTTTAACACAGTCTCTTCACCCAGATGCTGGGCTTTAAGGAAAGCACCAGCTATGGCAGGGCTTGAGATAACAGCACAGGAGCTGACCCCACACGGGGTTAACAACCTGTCAGGAGAGAGTTTTACTGCTTTTCTCAGCATGGTTCCACAGCTCTTCAGGAGCCTCTTGTTCGCTCCAGCCCCATCACTTGATGGCCCTGCTTGAGCTGAAATTGCTCAAAAGGAAACTGATGGCCTCCAGTTCCCTGTCTGGTGGTGGCCGTGGGCTCAGCTGTTCCTGAGGAAGCGGGACTGTGAACTGTCTCATGTGAAGAAGTCTCCCCTCTTCACCTGAATGGTACTTCACCTTTGGGCAGGCCTGAACTGCAGGCAGGGGAGGTGTCAGACACTTACCAGTCACTCGTCCTTTTTGCTTCAGACCATGGGCATTCAGGATGACTGCATGTAATCACTGACCCACACACTGGTTTGGGTCGGAAGGGACCTTAAAGCTCCTCCAGCTCCAACCCCTGCCACGGGCAGGAAAACCTTCCACTAGAGCAGCTTGCTCCAAGCCCCTGTGTCCAACCTGGCCTTGAACACTGCCAGGGATGGGGCAGCCACAGCTTCTCTGGGCACCCTGTGCCAGCGCCTCAGCACCCTCACAGGGAAGAGCTTCTGCCTAAGAGCTCATCTCAGCCTCCCCTTGGGCAGGTTAAAGCCATTCCCCTTGGCCTGTCCCTACAGCAGAACACTCCTGTATGGCCCTAGCCCCATATCAAGAGCTCAGCAGTGCCCACACCTGCCCTGGAATAAAATAGAAGTTGATGGAAGAGCAGTTGGGCAGCTCCTTGCAGAAGCCTTTTTCTTTAGCTGTTCTGTGCAGGGTTTCTGTATAGGGAGTGCTTTGAACAGCAAAAAGCAGCTCTAACAGCAGTTACCTTCTCATGTGCCATTATCCAGCACTGTGAGCTGATCACAACATCCTGCAGGACTGGGAGATGGGGAGTTATATTCTCCCTCTGAACACACTTGATTTAGACCTCAGTGGGGCTGACCTAACGGGAACAAAACACAAGCTTGATCCTGACTACAGAAATAGCAGGCAAGGAATAAGAGAATAGCTTTTTTTAGGGAAGAACAATTGGATTACATGTAGTATTAATTCCTGAATTAGTCTTGTCTGATGTAAAAAAGCAAGGCTCCAGGGGCCTTTGGTAATGTCAAGGTTGGAAGAACCCTTGAGGAGAAATTCTGACTTCTTTTTGCTGTTCAAAAGAATGGAAGTAGTGCCTTGAAGTGTCTTCTGGCAAGAAACTTTCTCTTTACTGAGTTGTTAGATGTAGCTGGTGCCAGTGATGTGAAAAACTACAAACTGGTGCAGAACAAAACTGAGGTGGGTGTTCTGCAGACAGCAGTTATTCTGGTGGGGTGGAGATTGAGGAGCAGTCTGGGGATGACAGGATGGTTTATCTGAAAAACTCAGGCATTACTCATGGGTAGTAAAGTTTGGCTCTCTTCAAGTGTGTACATACCAAATGTCAGGATGTGAAGGTACAGTCTGCAGGCGTTAAGCTGAAAGAGACTGAGCTGAGCTCTTAGGCAGAAGCTCTTCCCTGTGAGGGTGCTGAGGCGCTGGCACAGGGTGCCCAGAGAAGCTGTGGCTGCCCCATCCCTGGCAGTGTTCAAGGCCAGGTTGGACACAGGGGCTTGGAGCAAGCTGCTCTAGTGGAAGGTGTCCCTGCCCGTGGCAGGGCTTGGAGCTGGATGAGCTTTAAGGTCCCTTCCAACACAAACCAGGCTGGGATTCTGGAATTCTATGAAACATATTACAGACTAGCAGAGCAGTTGAGGTTGGAGGGGACCTCTGGAGATCACCCACTTCAATCCCATGCTCAGAGCAGGTTGCTCAGGACTGTGTCCAGTCAGGATGGAGGCTATACAGCCTCCCTGGGCAGTTCCCGTGTTTGGGCACTTGTACAGTAAAAAAGACCCCAACAAAACAGAGCCCCCAGAGTAAACAAGAAACCGTTTTTTCCCTTGATGTTTAAATCTGATTTTCTCCATTTCATGCCCATTGCCTCTTGTCCTGTCCCTGGGCACCACTGAGGAGTGTCTGGCTCTTTCAGACTCTCGTATCTGTGTAGATACATTGAGATAAATGCAAAATCTGTAGGCAATTAAATAACACAGAGATAATGAGGAGATAATAGATTCAAAATACCAGCTTCAAAGCAGTGACATTTGTTCTTGTTTGATACTGGTGCTTTGCCTGACATTTCCTGATGTGTTTCTCAATATACTGTGGGACAGCAAAGCCAATATGTTCAGCTGTGGAGTAAAGCAGTGATAGTGGGTAGGATTCAGCTGGTTGGACATAGATGCCTTCATCTGAAGTGGCCACTGAGAGTCTCTGGACAGCCACCAGAGAGAAACGGGTTACTTCATAGATGTCTTCTTCAGGTGTCCATCTTCAGCTGAGCTCCCTGGAGATGCCTCTGTATCTCCATTGATCAGAAGGGGAGCCCAGATGATCAGATGAGATGCAGGCATCTTCATATGATAGATGGATCCTGCACAGAGTGCCCGTGGAAGGAGTTTGCATCTCCAGAACAGCACTGATACTTCCTGAGTTTGCTGTGGGAGGTGTTTCTGGCATGATTGGGGTTCAATCCTGGAGTTTAATGTACAAACAGAGGAGATGGCCATGGGGAACAGAAGCTTACGGCTGTTCATGCGGGTGCATTGTGGGATGGCTGCTCTCAGACAAGGCTCCTCTGGAGAGAATTCTGCTTTCTGTGAGGCTGGTGTGTCTGGCAGAGCCTGCGGGGCCCTGCCTGTGTCTGTGGGATGGAGCTGGCCCTCGGCTGTCCCACGGTCTCCTCATGCACCAGGGGCTGAGCACGTCTTCCTTGAACTACCTGATGTACCTTGTTAAAAGCTTCTTTAGATAACACAAGAGTGAGCCCTGGGTGTTGTGATGGAGAGTTCGGTTCCCTGCCTCTTCCGGAGTCAGTCCTGCTGGGGTTCCTATACAGTGGTATTTAAAGGAGTCTCATCAGAGTTCTGGGAATGTGCCCAGGCCATGTTTGTGGCCGTTACTGTGGTGGGATCTCGTGGGACGCAACCTAGAAAGCCACTGCTTGTGAGGAGGGAAATTCTTCTCCTTTGCCCAGCTGCTGAGCAGGGCCAAATTCTGCAGAGTCCTGGACCTTGAACTTGCCATTTCCTTTGCCTTTCCTTTTTTTTTTGTTATTGGCTAAAGACCTCAAAGCAAGAGAAGTGCCTTTGCTGGTACAACGTGGTGTAGTCAGTTCTGACCCACTAGATCATGTCCTACAGCTGCTTGCATTTAGCAGCTTGGTGAGATGCTAACAAAGGTGACCTTCATAGTGCCTGGTAAGAGTATAACCCTTTTAAATCCCCCCTGAGTGACATACACCTAGTGCTGACTGTGGGATTCACGTTCTCAAAGTTACCTATCATCTGTTGAAGAGCAGGAGGCTACTATTCTGTCCTGGTTCTGTGTCATGTCCTGCTCGATGGTGCCCTACTTACACTGCTGCCAAGAACAAAACCCAATATACTGATGAATACCTCCGGCCTGTTGTACAGTGACTTAAATCACTTGTTGTTATTGCTGCTCCATTTGTATTTTTCTAAGCATTTGTGTTCCACCAGCACACTCAGTGAGTACTCTCGAGGGGGAATTTCCTTCCTGATAAACAATTCTGCAATGTGATTCAGCAGGAAGGATGTGGTGGTTGAGGCACTGAACTGGGATTTGGGAGACATGGGTTCTGTTCCCAACTCTACCACAGTCAAGATGTGATGAGTGGAAGGACAAGCAAACAAAGAGGAGGAGCTGTTTACGGCAAAAACATACTTCCCCGTGGACTGTTTGTCCACTTTGGAGGTTAGATGGGGCTGGGGTTTTGTTTGGTTAATCAAGTAAATAGGGTTAGATACTCCTGTTTGTGCAGTTGAAATCTGAAAGCTCATCTCAACCTCCTCCAGGAATGCAAATGTTGCTTTAACTACATGTTGGTTTAACTTACGTGAGATTGCAGATGCCACTTCTCAGTATTTCTTCATTGACAACTCACCAATTCACCACTCAGTTTTCTGATCTTCAGGTGATGTACTCTGACTTCTACACTAAGCTCCATACGCACAGACTGTACTCTTGCTTAGATTCAGTGGCAACAGACCACACACAAGGTATTTCCTTTGTCACACAGGGTGAAGTTCTACAGTTTGAGAGTAACACTGCATTGGTTTTTCTTTTCAGAAGCAAGAGCTTGAGCTCCCATCTCTGAGCTGTAGACATCCTGATTTGGCGTTGCCTTTGGGAGGATGAATCAGGACAGTGACTCAAGTGATGAGACCACTGGTGAGTTTTCTGCTTGTCCAAGTGTTTGCTTATCTTCTCCTGTTGGTTCGCCATGATTTATTTTCCATTGATTTTACTTGATGCTACTGGAGGAGAATGCTGAATCAGAAGTAGAGCAAAACATGGGAATTCAATGCCAAATGGCATGCCATGAAGTTTACTGGATCTCTGAGGTTTCCTGGTCCACATCAGCATTCTTAAAATTGTATTCCAGGTTGAAAATGTTTACAGCAGTTGTTTTTATAACTTCTCACCAGTTCAGAAGAGCACAAAGAATCCCAGACTGGTTTGGGTTTCAGGGACCTTAAAGTTCATCCAGCTCCAACCCCCTGCCACGGGCAGGGACACCTTCCACTAGAGCAGCTTGCTCCAAGCCCCTGTGTCCAACCTGGCCTTGAGCACTGCCAGGGATGGGGCAGCCACAGCTTCTCTGGGCACCCTGTGCCAGCACCTCAGCACCCTCACAGGGAAGAGCTTCTTCATGATTTTATTACTGTGTGTTACACAGCTCATTCACCTTTTATCCATAGTTTAGTTTTCACATTATTTGCTTTCGTAGCTGCTTTATCCATGAAATGAGACCTGTGGGAGGTGCACACACACTATCTCCGTGTATTCCCTATGAAGTCTCAGTGTCAGGGTCCTTGACGGAGAGGTTGAATGGACAGGAATTTGTTACTTATTCTGGCTCAGTCCTGCCATAGGTCTCCTCTCCTTTTCCATCCCCATCTTTGGTTACTGGAATCCAGCATCATTCAGTGCTTCTGGCAGTGTCTGCAGGGGAGCAGGGCCTGGGGGACGCAGCCTCCTGGGCTCCTGCTCAGCTTGTGCTTTTTTGGATGTGTAAAGGGGCATTTTCAGTTCTGACGTGAGGGCTATTTTTTGACAGTTTCCATTGTTCCCACTCTTTGTTCATGGGTGAGGTCTTTTTGTCTGATGCCTTTTTCAGAAGCAGAGGCTGCTGTGAGCTGCCTGCTCACAGGTTTGGGGATTCTTCTTTTGTTGTCAAGAGGCTTGAGAATTTCTTCCTTTTTCAGACTCGCTTGGGCAAACTCATCCAGGCAGTATCTGCCTGTGGGGATTGCTGGGATATTCCCTTTCTGGGATTGCTAGGATATTCCCTTGCTGGGATAGCAAGGGAAATGATTGTCATAGCCACCACCCTTGTGCCATGCTTTGCTGTCACGGTCCCTGTGGCTGTAGGCAGAGCAAGTTGATGAGCTTATGGATCTGGACACCACGCAACACTGCAGAACTTGTCAATGTCCCTGGGTTTAAATCTGGGAGTTCAGGAATGTGGAAACTGTAGGAAGATTCCTGTGGTAGCATGGATATCTATTCTGGAATAATCTGTCTGTGCTGTATTGCTGTATTGCAGGTGATGAATACACTCAGGATATCACACAGATTCATGAACAAAAGGACCTAGAGGCATTCGATGAAAGCGTCTCTAACACAAACCATCCTGGGTGCTCCTGAGGAATGTGTGGATCACATGGTCAGAATGTTCACAGACTGCTCATTGCAGTCTTATCTTTTGGAAGGGTAATAAGTGTTATGGTTTGAGTTTAGATCCACTCTCTAACAGGCACAGGCATGAAGCTGTCCAGAGGGACACGTTTCCAATGTCCTATTCACATAGATTTTGCACCTTCTATTGAATGCTTAGTGCTGGTTCCTCTTGGAGTCAAGATACTGGGTTAGGCAGGTGAGATCCACTGATACATATCTAGGCTGACGATAGGGATCTTCACATTCAGACCTCCATTTGTCCAGCTTCCAGCATCAGCCTTCTGTAGCCGCCTATTAAGTTCTACATTGTGGGTTCATGTCATTATCTAAGCCTTGCTGCGACTGTGGCTATACTTAGAGAGGAAGGATGTTATAATCTGTGAAAGATTAAAATATTTTGACTGTAACCCAGCTGGAAGGGCAGCACTTTTCTCAGGGCAAGGCACAGCCAAGGCTTTCCCATTTCTGTCCTCCTCTTGTATACAGGAAGGAAGTGCTGGCAAAGGCCCCCTGAGCTTCCTGTCGACTTTGGAGTTTCCAGACACAACCTTCTCCACCATCCATCACCCAGCCCAGCCAAACAATCCCAGTAGCACCAGGGATAAAACACACATCTCCCATAAACACTGTGAGCAAAGCACCAGTGTCTGGGCAGCAGTTTGAGCTGGGATCTGTGTGGGACAGCAGGCTGGGGATTCCTTCCCTTCCCTGTAGAACCAAGTGTCTCAGTAATGAGAATTCCCCTTTACAAAGGAATATAAAAGTGAAAAAGAAGGAAAAGGCCTGATGTTTAGTAAAGCAGCTGCTACACTGACAGGTTGTGGAGGCTGAAACTGAGGACCTGATGGGTGATGTTTTGTGGTTCAGAGCACCCCGGGGTGATGTGCCTGGCCAAAGGGGAAGGAAGGAACTGTTGTCTGCTGTGATGGAGACAGAGGTTTCTGTCAAGTCTTCAGGGTAGGGCGGTGGTGAAGCAAACACTATCTGTGCTGCCTTAAAGGAGGAAATAAATAAGGTGGAGGCCTCAGCTATACATGAATCACCTTTGCTGAATATGATTCTGTGGCTCTCTCCAAGAAGAGGCTCCAAACCGAACCGTGACCTTTTTCTTGCATCATGTTTACATGCTGCATTACAGTATTTAGGTAATGTTTTCAGACCTGTTGGCTCTGTGACCTCTTTTTGACCATTCCTCAAAACAGCTATTTGGTTTCAGTATGGTTTTAGTATTCTTGCCAGCTTTGAGCTCTGCGTTTCACATGGTTCTGAAAGCAAAAGCCTGCAAAGATTGGCTGTTTACATGATGAGTAATTATGGAATCCTAGAATCCCAGAATCCCAGACTGGTTTGGGTTGGAAGGACCTTAAAGCTCATCCAGTTCCACCCCCCCTGCCCTGGGCAGGGACACCTTCCACTAGAGCAGCTTGCTCCAAGCGCCGTCCAACCTGTTACTGAAATACCTCTCAAGATCACTGTGTAATCCTATTGTACAACTGGATATGACAGTGTATCAAGAGTCTTACGTGACACAGAAACAACTTTTCAATATCTGAGGCTCAGCGGTCCTAATGCATCCAGCCTTATGTGTAAGGCTGAGCACAGAGATTAGTCTTGCTGGGTGTGAGCATCCACACAGACAGAGCTCTCTCTGCGTTACCATGTTCTCAGCATTCTCCAGCAGGTGTTTTGGAAGCCATCCTATTGTTCTTTGGCCTGAGCTACGCCAAAGCTGCCTCCTAGTAGGCTGTGTTCAACAGTAAGAGGGCTAGTTTGTACTTGGGCATGGAAGGAGGGGAATGGAAAGACTGTCAACCACCAAGGCAATTGTTCCTGTCCTGGGCTCAAAGTAATGCTGCTCTTGTTCAACTGTATTTGTTTTGAGCCCCCATCTCAGCTAAGCACAGCAGCTTGTACATCCGTGTGGAGTTCAAACACCTCCAAGACTGACCTGTTTGGGTCATTTGGGGTAAAATTCAAGTGGGAGTTCAGCTTAATGGTAAGTGGAAAATGTAGACTGACATTTCAGCAGTTGCTAAATCGAGTCAGACAGGAATGGTGTGGGGTTGCATATTCCTAAATTCACTGACACTGCAGGATTCCATCAGCCTTTCCTCTGACTTCTCTCTGCAGAAGGCTGCTGTCAGTAATTCCTGCAGCATGCCCAGTGGACTCGGAGTCAAACCAGTATTTACTTAAGGCCTACGTTTTGGCAAAGTCGGGATGAAACTGGAATAGGAGCATAAGCTCTAGGATTAAAGAACGAGATGTTGTTTTAATGATAAGGTTTTTAGGGAAGAGCTGTGCAAGTAATTGGTGAAGACTTTCCAGAATCAAATTGTGTACTGCTGAGATGTGGCCACTCAGGCCCCATGTGCATAGTGCCCGATGTGGTGGTTGTGTTTGTAACACATCCTTCAGTGCAGTGTATACTTTATATGCTTATGCTTTTATCATGTACAAACCAGTGTGTAACTCTTAACAACCTTGAGAACCAAAAGAATCCCCAGCTTTGTGCTGGCTACCTGCGGGAGCACCTTGCCTGCCCAGCCAGATGTGCCTGTCTGTGGTTATTTCATTCCTCCCCCTCTGGTTCACATTTTTATTGTCCTTTGTCTGAGCTTGTAAGAGGCATGGGGTGGGGAGTAAGCTCCTTAAATGCCTTTACAATACTCTGTGGGACAGAAGTGAGTCCTCATTTGAAGTCTTTATGGAATGCAGTATTACAGAGTCTTCGTTTAAAATCTGAAACATTTCTGAAATGCTAACAGTTATATTTGAATCTACCAGAAATGCACATGAATAACAGCAACTGAAACAGAAAAGAAGGTAAAAGTTCCTGGGGATGGAAAGGATCATGAGGAGCAGTAATAGCTGCTTGTTTACGAAAACAGTGGCAAACCTAAAACTAACCCATCAGGGTGATGCCTTAGAGCTGGGAAAACCCAGGTTTCCCACTGGTCAGGGCTGAATGTAGATGCAGCCCATTGAAGCTGTCAACTTTAAAAGAAGAAAAGCAAAACTGAGCAACCTACTTTCAGGCTGTGCTGTACAGCCGGGGTTCCCAGGCAGCTTGTGGCATGTGGCAGTCTCAGTTCTCTGTTTTGTGAAGGCGTGAATCTTCTGCAGTGTGAAGCTGCTTCACTGCACATGGGAAGGTGCTCCCACTGACAGCCTGCAGCATCACTTCATTGCCCTCTAGAAGATTAATTTATTGTTTCTTTGCTTGTCCTGGCCATCCTGTTTGGAGGGAGAAGACATCACCCAGGCAGCGGGTGCAATTCTGCTTATTTCCTACATGCACTGATCTCTTATTTATCATAGGATCATAAAACTCCAGACTGGTTTGTGTTGGAAGGGACCTTGAAGCTCATTCAATTCCAACCCCCTGCCATGGGCAGGGACACCTTCACAGCCTGTGCCTGGGAGGACTGGTAGTTCTCAAAGAAGTGGAAGCAGGCTGGGACTCGTGAGCCCCTTCTGATGTGTTT